GCACTTGATCGTGTAAATCACAACTGCCTTGTTGACGAATTAAAATTGTTCGGGATCAGACCGCCTCTCATTAACTGGTTTTCCACGTATCTGATGCCGTTTATTTCTAGTTTGAAGACCTTTTTCTGTCTGAAGAAATGGAATGTCCTAGTTAAGTTCCCCAGGGTTCAGTACGAAGGCCTGATCTTTTTAATATACAGGTTTCTTCTGAAAATCACTCTTTTAGCCGATGATGTGAAACCGTGGAAAGAAATCGGAAGTCACAAAGACTGTTTCTCTACAGGAAGACAATCCAACTTCAAAACTGGGCAGTCTATAATGGACTAGATTTAATCCTGAAAAACCCAAGAGTGTACGTTTAGAACATGATGCACTCCATATAAGGAACCTGAATGAAATGGAACTTGAAGTGTTGTGGACGGAAAAGGATTTGAGCGTTTTAACTTCTCAAGCCTTAAAATCTTATGCCAACTATGACAAACGTATTTCGTGGAAACTTGACGTTAGTAACTCAGACGAATTTTTTGACTATTCGATCGTAATTTTCTCACAAAATTCTCAACAGCTTCGCATGGCCCCACCTGCAAATCGTTATTATAATCATCCGCCTCCTTCTCTGCAAGAGGAAAAGTTGAGCATAGTACGCATCCAGAGACTGTCGACCAAATTGGTTCGAGGACTGAACTCTGAAACATGTGAAGAAGGACTGGTTGTGCTTGATCTTTGTCGCCTGGAATATAGAAGACTAAGAGAGTATTTGATATTGGTTCACAGTTTCATGTGCACCCTTGGACACACACTCCGTCACTCATTGAGTTTTAGTTGTACCGTGAGTCTTAGAAGACATGTGGAAACTAAGCCTAGAACAGCATGTTAGATATCAGACACAACTTGTATTCCGTAAGAGTTGTTAGACCCCGGATTCTAAAACCAGTTAAGCGAAATCTTCTACCGCGTCAGTAACCATATAAACCATTTTTACTACCCCCTGTGAAGTTTTCTATCTAGAAATATTGTTAGTACTTCCGAAGTCCTTTCTAAGCCTTGAGTTACACGTAATTGGAATATTTTTCAAATGTTTGTAAGAATAATGAAACGTATACTGAGCTCTGTCTTGTGACACGTAGAATTATTATTTTCTATAAATATATTCCATGACATCACTTTCACATTGAAATTGACTTATTTGCTGTGGATAATTGCAAAGATAAGTTACATTTACTCGAATTCTAAGCGGTTTATATTCTACTTTTGTCGCATTGCATTTTGCCAGCGCCAGTATATTAATGTAGCTTATGGAAGAAAACGGGTATCGTTCAGGCTGATACAAATATTAATACTCATCCTAACGCCACCAACCTTCCGAAAGAATTCCTGTCCCACAAGAACGGTTCATCATCATCAGATGACTTCTCTTGCCTAGTACCGTTCACCTGACCTCAGCATTGCTTACACTGATTCCACCATGCACGAGCGATACTAAGATACGTCTGTGATCGAAAACCTGAAACCACTTCATACCTTTCAACGACCATGTCTCACAGCCATATAACTGAACAGGGCGGACTGCAGTGCAGCATCCTCATCGTTTGATAGGTAGTCGGATATACCGCCAATCGGTGCCACAGATGAGACAAGTTGGCAAATGTCAAACAGGCCTTCCATATCTGGGCTGAGATTTCATCAGCAACTAGCTCGAACTGATGCGACTTCCCAAGTAAGTGGAGTGGTTGCCACATTCCACCAATTCATTCCCTACCTTTAAAGTGGAAGTACTTGCAACAAACCAGTCCTGGAACATCATCTTACATTTCACAGTTGCCGATAAAACACATGCCAAACATACTCAGGCTTCTGCTCAACGCGTTCAGAGGACGCTGTATTTTGTCAGCACCTTCATGTAGCAGGATAATATCTGCGTTGTTCAAGTGGAGCTGTAGCTCAAAGGTTTATGGAGATTAGAACCAACCAATGGGTCACGAATTCGAACCCTGGTCTACCTACGAAGGCTTAGGCAGCCAGGTAGTACCACTGGCCCTCACATTGCAGGTGTAGCTCATTGCCTACTGCACTGATATACACATTGTGGCCCATTAGAAATCGTTCTTTTTAGTTTCTTTTACCCCAAGTCAATCAGATAACCTCCAAGGAGTAGGTTAATCCCTGTGAAGTTACTTATACCTAAGGTTACGTTCTTTAACGACGAAGGTAAATAAGAATGGTAACAGTGGGCATCCCTGATGGACACCACTAGTTGTCAATCTTGATGACAACTCTTCATAATCCCCTACATGATTGCTTGAGTTCTGTTGCAGCACGCTTTTGACTTGAGAGTGTACGAACGTATTTCGCATTCTCTCGTCTTGCAGAGGAGACTCCATGATCCACGCATCCTCGTTTCTGCCTAAGGGAACTCAAAAAGATAATCATCGGAAGACATTGAGGTATTACTTCTCTTGTCTTTTGTCCTTGTCTTCATATAAGTTGGCAACTGATGTAGCATCTTCGCATTTTCCTGCCTTATGTTGATAATAATAACAAATTTTCATGTATATGCAGGCATATTCCCATAATACAGGTATTGATAAATTCCCAGGTACTATTTGCGTGGATGTTATCTTATATAGCTCAACAATGGCGTAGGTTTGCTTGAGTATGCATTAGGGACTGGTATACTTGAGCGTCACTAGTTCTATCGAAGTGTAGTTTGGTGAAGCAGTTATTCAACCTGTCACCATCTGATTTTGAGTTCAATCTTGAGTTTACTTGTCTATCGAGGTGCCTGTGTTCAAAAGTAATGTATAAGTGCGCACTTAGCTACCTTGTGCACATCCGTGCTACAGGCAATGAGCCACCCCTATCGTGTGTGGCCTAGTGATACTACCTGGTTTACCAAACCTTGGTAAGTTGAACGGGGCTGGAACGCGTGACTCAGTGGTTGATAGTAATCTCCCTAAACCACTGAGCCGCAGCTCCACCATTCAGCCACAGAGTTACAACAGTTGCTGTATTTCATTATTTGTTTGATTTATTTTCGTGTCTATGCCACGCTCCTGTAGAAACATTATATTCACCTTAGAATGATGACCCCTATCCACTTTGTGAACTTGCCGGTTGTCCACAAGCTTAGAAAGATATATAGATAAATCTAGTGGAGACTTCTTAATACCGCCAAACTCAAAGTAGATATGGACCCATTCATTCCCTAAAATCTGCACTCACAAATTGTCAGTCTTTTGAAGGTTTTAGTTTTCATTTCCTAACTGATAGCTGCTACCATGACGTGTTGGTTGAGCTTGCATATCACAATGACCCAACGAGCCACACCAGCTGGAACGTTTGTTCTCTCAAGGTTCCACGACATCACAAAGGTCTGTTGGATAATGGTAAGACGGGAAGCAGTTACCGTTGTAGTGTAAATTGATACACTATGATGGAGGTCGGAAGACGAAGTCTTATTGCTGCTAGCTGGTTGGGGGTGTGACAGTAGTAAGTTGTTTCCCTTTGATGATCAGGAGTGCCACGCTGATGCTGCCTTCACAATGGGAAGGGAGGTTTAGAAAAGATCGTCCCCAAAAATATCACACTCCTCTCTATCCCACTGTTTTCCGGTGCCGATAGTAATGATTTTCTCTAGCTGGCGTTAGAACAACCAGACTTCAAAATAAAAACCTTCAGAGTGTATTTATATCGGACGTCAGGCAAATGCCCCATGGGCTCTGCGGCCACAAATATTTTTCTCTTTCAGGTACCTTAGAAAATAGATTTTCACGGTGTGGGCAGCCGGGAAGTGTCAATGGTTCGCACGCCTCCAGTAGTACACAAGACCCAATCAAAAATAACCTAACCTCCTCAACTCTATCTCCTCCTTTACCTTCTCCTCCTGATACTAGTATTAAGCCTCTTACACTTCTCCAACCTCTCATTCTTTGATCACCGCCAAGGATCAAAGCCATCGAAACCTCATTCCTTATCTTCTAGGACCCCGCCATGGATTTTATGCAGAAGCTTTCAACGCCCGAACTCTATGCCAAATTGGACAGCAGCCATTGCTCGCCAAAACTCCGGAATCTCTAGCCATGGATGTATGCTGTATCCTTGAGACACATATGTAGGACCTGAGTATAGTTACTAAAACTGACCTCACCTGACCATAGTAGTGAATCTTCAAAATTAACCTTGCGAGTATCCGGAGACCCAATGGCTAACTCTTATGGACTCGCTGGTGTAGACATAGCATTGTGTTGTAGAGCGGATACCAGTCAACAGCCGTCTGTGCTGTTCGATTGAATGGATCCGTAATAACTGTGAAGGCTCGCGAGGATAGGCGATGCTCATTTGTAATCTCTGCGTACTCATCCACGAAAGCGGTTTGGATGATGCAAAAGATGAATTCTATGAGTAGCTGTCAATTTAGCTACAAAAAGCAAAACGTCCAGCTGTAGTCATAATGACAGAGAACTTTAACACTTACGTTGGGAAGCTAAGCCAATCGGAAAGGTATCTTGGGGTATTTACGGGGTCCCATGCCAACGAACCAACAACGGTGATCGTCTGCTGCAATTTTGTTCCGATAACCACTTGTTTCTGGCCGGCACTAACTTTCAGCATGAGGAGGGACACTGTCTTACGTAGCATTCGCCGACATTAAACCAACGCTGGATACAGAAAAATCATACTGCTATAACCCATCGGTGGCGAAGATCGGTGGGAGATAACCGCTCTTTATAGAGCACCAGTTTGGACTCCGATTACATTTTAGATCACACGCTCTTTACTCGAACTCACGCAGTCGTGCAGAGTTGTGTGAATTGACATCAACTAGTGGTGTGACCCATAAGTAAGTACATCACCTTATTGAAAGCTCTCTACTCGAACACTTGTGGGCATGTTAGAGCCTATGGTGAGTTGTCCAGGGAGCTATACTCATCAAGTGGTGTCCGTCAAGGATGCCCACTATCCCCATTCTTATTTAATTTTATCATAGATATTCTTATGGAGGTTTCCCTCTCGTCACCTAATTACAAAGACGTTGACCGGACCACAGGTGAATTTTCCTTAGATCTAGAATATGCAGATGACATAGTCCTGTTAGGTGAAGACGCTGACAAGATGCAGAGTCTTCTGAACACTTTGAGTGGGAATTTGAGAATGTTTGGGATGCGATTTTCACCACCCAAATGCAAATTTTTGCTCCAGGACTGGTCTTCAGCGGTACCGCGGTTAACAATAGAGAGTGAAGTGGTTGAGTGTGTTGACCACTTCACTTACCTGGGAAGTAGGATCAACTCCGGTGGGTTAGTTGCCGATGAGATTTCTGCACGGATACAAAAGGCTCGATTGGCTTTTGCCAATTTGCGCCACCTATGGCGCCGCCGTGATATTCGTTTGTCTATTAAGGGTCGCGTGTACTGCACAGCAGTCCGCTCTGTTCTACTGTATGGCTGTGAAACATGGCCATTGAAAGTGGAAGACATGAGAAGGTTACAGGTATTTGACCACCGTTGCCTTCGTAGTATAGGACGTATTCCGTGGTGTCACCATGTGAGTAATGCAGAAGTTAGGTGTAGAGTTTTAGGGAGAAGAGGTAAGTCAGTCGACGAGGTTGTGAACCTTCATCGACTGAGATGGTTGGGACACGTACTACGTATGCCTAGTCACCGATTGCCTCGTCACACAATGTTGGCTGAGGTGGGTTCAGGCTGGAAAAAGGCCCGAGGTGGCCAGACTAAAACATGGCACCAATGTATGAAGTCTCTGACTGTTGGTTTAAGCCATGTAGGACGATGCAGACTAGGTGGTTGGGGTCCACGGGACAAGAGGAACCAGTGGTTGGAGACCCTAGGTGATATGGCTCAGAACCGAAGTCAGTGGCGCAGATGTATACACACATTATCCTCATCTTAACAACGCTATACCGAATCTCACTATTTTGTCACTCCTCTTTCCTTTCTTCTCGTACTTTATATTTCTTTTGACTGCATTCACTTATCTTCATCCTTCACCTCACTACCTTTTTACTTGATGTGCTGATATGAGGTGTGGCAACTCGGACCGTTACGCAGTAATGCCTGGTCCTATGTTGATAATGATGATGATGATGATGGTGTGACCCATAAAATGTTCACTGTCACCGTTCCCATTTAACTTCGTCACAGACGTACTAAAGGAGCTAATGGTGCTTCTCACTTCACTGGAATTGACCTACTCCATCAAGGTAACCTAGTTGACTTCGAGTACGTAGACGATATTATCCTGCTACATGAAGGTGCTGACAAAATACAGCGTCCTCTGAACGCGTTGAGCAGAAGCCTGAGTATGTTTGGCATGTGTTTTATCGGCAACTGTGAAATGTAAGATGATGTTCCAGGACTGGTTTGTTGCAAGTACTTCCACTTTAAAGGTAGGGAATGAATTGGTGGAATGTGGCAACCACTCCACTTACTTGGGAAGTCGCATCAGTTCGAGCTAGTTGCTGATGAAATCTCAGCCCAGATATGGAAGGCCTGTTTGACATTTGCCAACTTGTCTCATCTGTGGCACCGATTGGCGGTATATCCGACTACCTATCAAACGATGAGGATGCTGCACTGCAGTCCGCCCTGTTCAGTTATATGGCTGTGAGACATGGCTAGTAAATGTAGAAGATATCAAGAAATTACAGGGTTTTGATCACAGGTGTCTTCGTACCTTCGCTCACGTTGGGTGTAAGCAATGCTGAGGTCAGGCGATGTGCACTAGTCAAGAGAGGCAAGTCAACCGATGAGGTGAAGCTTGGTCGACTGAGATAGCTTGGACATGTACTGTGCATGCCAATCCAACCCCTACTTGGATGTGCCATGATTGGGGAATCTGGGTTAGGCTAGAAGAGAGTTGCGGATGACCAGACCAAGGCGAGACACCAGGTGATATAGTTTCTGACTCTTGGTTTGAGTCATGTGTGGAGATGTAGACTACCTGGGTCCTCTAGAAGAAAGGAACCAGTGACCGATTGCTCTTGGTATAAAGACTGGAAATCGGTCACAGTGGTGCGGATATATTCACTCTTTGATGTCTTCTAAAACTTGAATATTCTCGCTAACTTTTGTCTTCAAATTTTTAATTCTCTAACACACCTTTTTCTATTTTCTTATCAATCTTTTTCAATCCACTTATTTTTTGTGTACTACTGTGAAGTGTAGGAGCTTAAGCCGGCACACTTGTGTACTATGTTCTACGTTGGTTCTCTCTTTATGTCTTTGTTTAGTATTCCGGATAAGAGAAATAACTGAGTTCTGCGAAGTGAAGTGCAGATACTTTCACTTTATTCGGCCGTTTTTCGCCCCCTCCTATTTTTTTCACATTGATTGCTTTTCCGTTTCATTAGTATCCTCTGGACTTTTAAAATATGTTATTATGTTTTCCATTTATCGGATTCTCCACCTATCCAGTCCATTCTTGTTGGTTGTAGTTTACTTTCTGTTGTAACAAAGTTGTCTTCCTGTATTTTATTGTCGTATGGTTACTAACCTGTCCATAAAATATTCCTGAAGTTATTTTATTGGTATGTGGCTTTCTGTATCCATATTTTTCAAACAAAAAGGGTTAAATGTTTGTTGGTTTCACTGTTTATCCTAAACTAACTTCCCATTAATAAATGAAACAACTTCAGATGGTTAATCTGCCTCAAACACACTGTGCTATTATTGAACTGTTGGAACTAATGCGATGTGATAACTGTGCAGCGACTCTTCATCAGCCATTTACAACTGGAGTGTGTGAACACTTACTTTGTTCCTCATGTATACCAGGCCGAAGTAATGGAAAGGTTGCAAGCTGCTGTCCAGTTTGCTCAGTCCCTGTCCATCCACGTGATTGTCAAGTTCATCCACAGTTTACGTCACTAGTTTTAGTCGCCCGTCGTTTAAAACGACTGACAGTGAACGTATCTCAAGAGAAAACAAAAGTTTCTCGTGATCCCTTAACTGGTATGTTATAATAATCCTTGAAGTATTTTGATATTTGTGTACGGTTCATAAAGCATACAACCATGATATTAGAATAAAACTTTAGCACTATAGTGGAATTACGTACAATAATGTTGGTTTATGTTGAAATTGGAAAAAAAATGTTTAAAAGACTAATTGTCTTTTAATTGTTTGTTTTCTGTTCAGTGTCTGTAGTTTTCAGAAATATTCAGAACATACTAGTTTACTTTGTTTTTTCTAACTGGTTGTTTAGTAGATTTTACATGCACTTAAATCTAGTATTTAAGCCATTTAGGAATTTACAGCATCTGAAGTTACTTACTTATTTACTCCATTATCGTGTTATTTGATGCGCTACTTTAACATCGATTTTATATATCGTAACCTGAAAATGAAAACAAAGATATGAGCTACCTTATTGACTTTACTTTTCGAATCCTACGCTTGACAATAAATAATCAAGCATTACTATTATCTACGACCTCTGTGCTTGTCCACACATATTAGCTTATGTAAATCTGCAATCTCAAAACCATTCCCACTTCAAAGTCAGTATTAACTTGAGGCTTACCTTTAACGCTCAACAATATGAATCGCCACACCTCATATCGGCGCATCCACATAAAAAGCAGCAAGTTGAGAAGCAAAGAAACAAGAGAAAAGAATAGTTTGAACTAGTGAATAGAGAGCAAGGTAAAGTGAGACTATAACGAAGTTTGGTATGACGTTTAAGATGAAGGTAATGTAAAGATAGGTTTGCGAAACTGACGTTGATTCTGAGCAGCATCACCTAGTCTCCAAACATTGGCTTCTGTTCTCACATGGACTCCAGGAAGTCTACGCTTCCTCACACGGCTCAGACCAACAGCCAGAAACTACAGGTACTGATATATTCTGTCATAGTCTGGTCATCTTAAGCCTTTCTGCAGCCTGAACATACTTCAGTTAGCATTGTACGATGGACAAACGGTGACCTCATACCAAACTTCATTATAATCTCATTTTACCTTGCTGTTTATTCACCACTTTTAATTGCTCTTTGGGTTATTTATTCGTCGTTTTGCACTCTTGCTTCAGATGCCGGTACGATGCGGTAACGTAGACCGTTGTCCATTAAAGCTATGTCTTTATAAGGCGGAGATATACTTCAGTTAGAACAAACGTCCAATTGTTGTGCATCTTCTTGTTCTAGGCTGACGCGCATTCTTTGGCTGACTGTCTACAAATCAATAGTTGTGACGTAGTCTACCTTTCTCCATCGTTAATTTCAGTGAACTCCAGAGAACAGAATGTCTCCTATTGTGTGAAGTTCATGCTGGTCAGAATGACATGGCTATATAGCAACACTTCTGGCAGCTAGTAGCATTTACCCGTTTGTTTAGCAGAATTTCTCAAAGATTCATTTATGTGCTCATCTACCTAGCTTATTCCATCCACTCACATTTAAAATAACATGCTAAGAAGATCACATATGGAGGTTTGGTTTTCAGTAGGACTCATCATAATTTTCGGTAAAATTCATCTTCCAAACTACAGTCAGTGGGTGCATAAGAAGAAATTACACAGAGATAACAACGAGTTTTACTATTCTTTCAGTCCTAACCCCACCACTCAACCGAGCAGCGCACAAGCGATTGTCAACTAGGACTCAGTCGAACAGTGCACCTTCTACCCTAGGACTTCACGCTATAACCAAACCTGCAAGACTATGAGAACTAACCGAGGGAACTGGAAAAGTAAAATTTGTAGATTCACCAAATTGATTGAGTGATGTCAAGTGAATAACCACACTTGGATCCTTTACTCGTGTCTCGAACACAATACACACCCTTAACCCGAAATATCAGAGTTTTGACTAACGAAGCTTGTTGGCAGATTTGATGGAGAGTGTGGAGATAGAAAGCCATCAAATGCAGTTCGGAGAGCAAATTCAGAAGATCAGAGATACTATTCCATAAACTCCGAATCGTTATTAGGGCTGGAGAGCCAGAAGGAATCAAAGATGCGGAAGGTTAATAATGATCTGAGGTGAATTGAGTCCTAACCGAGTTGTGAACGCAGTTGACACTTCGCGCCTGCTCACACCTTAGAAGTTACTTCTTGAGTTATTTGACAAGGAAATTGTATCAGTAAAAGTGGTACTTGATTTCAGAGTCCAATGGACAACTCGAAGAAAATGAAGTGTGCTCAGTATACAAGTGCACGTTCGTGAAGTAGACAATGACCAACGTTTATTGTGTGAGTTAATGATACTATCTGTCTTCCCAGACCTCTGTAGGTGGAGCGGGGTTCAAACCCGTAATGTGCTCATTGAAAATCGGGTGTCTAGTTTATGATCCACAGTCTCATCTGAAAAAATCGGTCCCACACGGGTTCCTCAAAGTTTGAGATCTAACTTTGAATATTTTTAATCTAGTCATATAACTCATACTACCACCATGAAAATACAGCAGAACTGGGGATTTAATTTGTACAACCGACCTTTTTTAGTTTCTCTTTCACATATAGAAGGTAATATCAGCATGGACTTTGGGTCATGCATGAGAGAAGCTTTACTGCTGTCACACCCCGTCCAATCAGCTGTATGACTTCACTCTGGGACCTATTTTATATCATCATGGTGACTGCCTTTTGTCTTACCACTATTCTGCGAACCCTTCTGGTTTAGTAAGACCTCAAAGAAAAAACTTCCCCAACAACATATCTTGTTGGGTCATTTTGGTACGTAAGTTCGGCCGCCATGTCAAGATAGCAACCTGCAGGTGGGGTTTACCACCAAGTGTATATGAACAGTAAACCGTCTAGTTTAGGACTTGATATGACATGCTCAGTGTTAAAAAAGAATTGAAACTCACTCAGCAACCCTATGCACATTTGTGCATAGGTCTTGCAGTTGGCAATGAGCTGTACTTATTGTGTGAAAGCTAATGATACTAATTGGCTGCCCAAACCTCGGTTGTTGGAGCTGTTTTCTAACCCGTGACTACTGATTGAAAGTCAACTCCCTAAGGCAGTGAGCTACAGCTTTAATAAATGCGCTAATTCTCAGATCAGTGCTAAGGATTAGAGCATATGGCATCAGTGATGTAGTCTTATGAGCTTTACAACCTAAAGTAAGTAGGTCAATTTAAATATAAGTAGTAAACTGTTATTATTCTTGCCTCTGATATGCAGATCCCCTTGCAGCACGTTGTCCAACCTAGATAACTTGGATCATAGTGATAGTATATAATGTGACTAGGATTATTCAGCTATACGGGTTGTGACCAACTGTGCAGGTTTAGCACTAGAAATGACGCTGTCTGGAGAGATTTGTAATAAGGTTTCAGCATTCGCTTACATCGTCTTCATATATGTCCTCCACGGCAGTTTGCTCTTTCATTATGCTTTGAATAGTCCCATTCCTTTAGTCACTCAGTTATGAGACAATGTGAACTAGAAAAGTAGTTTTAATCTCATGATTTGTCTATCATGTCTCTTACTTTTAATTTCTGTAATTCGGTACTAAACTCTAATTAATAATGTTTTTTCCATATTTGTTACAGAAAATGGCAATGTTAATTGTAGTCTTAATAAAAATGACAGAGGGCTACCGCAAGTTGTACTCAAAAGGGCATATACTTCATCGAGAAAACAGATGATGTCCGAAGATAATGGTTCTAACAGGTAAGATTTAGTTTTATTTCTAGTTTCTATTGTTGTCACTAGAGGAAAACCATAAGGTCTAGCGTTATGTTGTTTAAGCCTATTCAATTTTCTCAGCTTTTTGGCAGATTTGATTTATAATATAGGTTTGATAACATATCAGCTTGGTCAGTAATAATTCAGTTTAATTCAGCAAATATATGCGGGTCAAAGCACTAGACAGCGAGGGTAGCCTATTGCGTAAAGATTGGTAACTGTACTTAAATGCGTAATCTTTGATGATCGAACCCCGCCCCACCTACCGAGGTTTGGACAGCGAGGTAATATCACCAGCCTACATACAACAGGTATGAGTCATTGCCTACTGCACGGATGTGCACAAGGTGGCTGAGTGCGTTTCATTTGTTCGTTCCGACTTATCATTTACTCTTTGGAAGTCGATTAATTAGTCACAGTCCTTCATTAACACCAGAAACTACTCATAACTGTACTTGGCTGCAAAACATTCTAAGTTATTGTGGATAGTTTATTTGAATATAAAGCCTAATGGTCCTGCCCTCTATCCCTCGAATGTAATGATGAGTACCCTGCTCGGGAGTGCCATACTAGAACGAAACACCTGTCTAGTACTCCCACCTGTTTCGTGTAGATGTGACTTACGTACTCAACTTCCAAACAGTAGGTTCTTGCTTTGAATCCCATTCTATCTACTTCAGCTTGGGCAACCTGATGGTATTATAGACCCTCATACTATAAATGTGGTTCCTGGCATTGTGCAAAAACATGCACCGGATTTAGTGACATCAAATTTCTGGAGATATGACCAATTGGTTTAAGCAAGTAAATCGTAAGTTTAAACCCTGTTCGACCTACAGAGGTCTGGGAAGACAGATAGTATCATTAACTCACACAATAAACGTTGGTCATTGTCTACTTCACGAACGTGCACTTGTATACTGAGCACACTTCATTTTCTTCGAGTTGTCCATTGGACTCTGAAATCAAGTACCACTTTTACTGATACAATTTCCTTGTCAAATAACTCAAGAAGTAACTTCTAAGGTGTGAGCAGGCGCGAAGTGTCAACTGCGTTCACAACTCGGTTAGGACTCAATTCACCTCAGATCATTATTAACCTTCCGCATCTTTGATTCCTTCTGGCTCTCCAGCCCTAATAACGATTCGGAGTTTATGGAATAGTATCTCTGATCTTCTGAATTTGCTCTCCGAACTGCATTTGATGGCTTTCTATCTCCACACTCTCCATCAAATCTGCCAACAAGCTTCGTTAGTCAAAACTCTGATATTTCGGGTTAAGGGTGTGTATTGTGTTCGAGACACGAGTAAAGGATCCAAGTGTGGTTATTCACTTGACATCACTCAATCAATTTGGTGAATCTACAAATTTTACTTTTCCAGTTCCCTCGGTTAGTTCTCATAGTCTTGCAGGTTTGGTTATAGCGTGAAGTCCTAGGGTAGAAGGTGCACTGTTCGACTGAGTCCTAGTTGACAATCGCTTGTGCGCTGCTCGGTTGAGTGGTGGGGTTAGGACTGAAAGAATAGTAAAACTCGTTGTTATCTCTGTGTAATTTCTTCTTATGCACCCACTGATTGTAGTTTTCGAAATGACCTCTAAAGAGAAATATTTTGCTTTTTACCTTCACTTGAGTGGCGCAGACATCAAAGGTAGATTTCTATGTTAAAGAGGAATATTAGGTGATGGGGCTCGCAGTCTTCAGTGACTGAGATGTCTTACTATATATGTCATGAATATTTTGTCACCCTCTGTGGTGGTGCATCTTGTTAACCGATGTAGTGTTCGATCGAAAAAAGTAATCGAAGACAACCGCATTAGTTATGCCGTCAATTTATTTAGCCTCTTACTATTGGCCTGAGGCGGTTTTGAAACTGTAGGCTTTTGCGTTTATCTGCGTAGTAACAGAAACGGGTGGTTAAAGACTCAAGGTGATCTTGCTGAAAATTGTTGTCAATGACGCATATGTATCCTTAGGTTGTTTCTCCATCGTAATCGTAATTAGAAATAAAAACAGAAGAGTAAGTGGATTCGCAAAGAAATAGACCCTAGAATAATTTTTTAAATATTTAATTACTTTCGTCTCACGTTTCTGTAACATGAAACGAAAAAGTCTTTGCATGATCACTACTAATTGCATTCTGAACCATATCTGGGTCGATTCACCTGAAACTGAAAATAATATGTTAAGTTTTTCGAAGTTCAGATGATGCCCTTAATAATGCAACTCTGTAACCATTTGCTGGTGTATCTACTAAACTGTAGGTGACATCTCTTGTGTGAATGCTGGTAAAAGATACATTATCTGCTAAAATCTCTGTGGTTTTGCAAGTTTTGAACCAATGGCTCGGAGCGCCAATGCATGAAGTCCTTGACTGTTGGTTTGAGCCATGTAAGACGATGCAGACTCGGCAGTTGGGATCCATGGGACAAGAGAAACCAGTGATTAGAGACTCTTGATGATGATATGGCTGAGAACCGATGTCAGTGGCCCAGATGTATGCACATATTGTCCTCATCTTAACCGCCATACTTAATCTCATCATCTCATCCCTCCTTCCTCTCTTTTACCACTTCTTTTGACCGACTTTTCTTTCGTTTTTCACCTTCGGTTTTATTCCGTTGTCACTTGACGTGCTGATTTGAGGTGTGGCAAGTTGAACCATTACGCAGTAATGCCTGGTCGTCTGTTAATGATAACCTGACCTGAACCAGTGACCCACTCGTAAAACATTTATCCACAACTGTACGTTTGATAGTCATCTGTCTTTGAGTATTTGTTTTAAAGGGAGAAAATTTGCACTCAGATTAACTAAACAGAGTCATGTTATCGCTTACTATCTTCTTTTTCTCCGCCTAATTTTTGATGAAAAAGTAACATATCGCAACCTAAGAATGTTTCCCCAATATTATGTATATCATGAGGTATGTTACGTATTTTTAGTTTTTTCTCCGAATTACTAAATACTTGTCAGAATGAGTTTCTAAATTTTTTTTTCTTTAAGAAGTTCTATTTCAGCTACGATCAGCTTTTTAGAGGACTGTTTGTAATCATCGAGCTTGTGACGGAGCTAAGTTCAGTTCTGGAACACGTATAACCTCGTTTTTGAGGATTAGTATATGCTTCAATGCACAAAGCCTTAGATAGTGAACTTAGATTCAACCGAAGTCACTATTTTCATATTTCAGTCGACCTTGTCTATCGCAGTGATAAATTTGAGCAGTAATGACGTGAAAACATGTTACTTGAGGTGTTAACATGACAAGATGGTCGGTTGGAAATTGATTAAACCACGAGGAAGAGCTAATATCATCTCATAATTTCGTAACCAAATTATTACAGAATGATATAAGGTCTAGGGTCAAAGTAATACTATTGACTGTACTCAGGTGTGACAAGTAACCAGTGGTTTCATTTGAATAACTAACTTTTCCTTCATTGGACGTGGTTAGAAAGTTTGGCTGTTGAGTATATATGTGTAAATGTAGTTTACCTCCTCTTGCCCCACTGATTTTCATATCCACGGACAAAGAGTTTTGAAGCATGGATACAACGTCTAAAGGTTCCTTGTGACTAGTGTCAAATAGCCGTCAATTTCCTCATATCACTTAGGCTACTTTTACTAACGTCTATTATAATATTCAACAAACCAAGTGATTTTCTGTATGTTGAATCTGCATCGCCAGCATAATGTGACCACAATTTCCTGTTTTGTTTTGATGAGATCCACAAATAAGACTTTACATTTGACACAGGGAAATTGTCTACGGTTAGCTGCAGATGATCTATGTTCCTTACTATCAGTCCCAACATACTCTAATATTTTGTTGTACGCTGTAGATACCAAGTCTTTGTTACATATTTTATTATCTCATCATATTTTATTTGCATTAGATGTTTCATTCTCTTGGTAAATTTTATCAAGAAGGAATTGATGTTCTCAAAAAATTTTCCATAAAAATTTTACTTTTTGCTAAAGAATAAACGTATAAATCGATGAGTCAGTATACATGTGTTCAATTAACGCAATTCAGCAACCATCTCCATATCTGTGTATTAGACTAGGAACCACACTCAATAATGCTTAAGAGCGAATTATTCTGCCAGATTAACTCAATTAAATGAAAGGGTTTTTTACGAATTACCATATCGATATAGTTGCTAACAATACGTAAGCGGGAAGATAAAATCAGCAGTCGTAAATAGCCATACAATAAAATGCGAAAAAGATAAAGGGAATACAAGTAGAAGGTACTACAAAGAACTGCACAGTAACTCATGCGATGATTTAATCCGTCAATTTTGGTGTATTTAACGAAATAAGCATGTCAGTCTTCGATGAATAACAACTTGAAATATTTCCAAATCTCCACAACCCCCTCAAAATTTAATTGAACTAGTGCTCGTTGGTGACTAGCTTCGAGAAGTATTCCCGAAGTCCCAACGACAAGTCGTGACCGGTGGAGCCAAAGCCTGATGGCCGTGAGGACAAACACTCAACGATGACATTGGGTGGCGGTTTGCGCTATATCGTGAGCTAACAGAAGTTGGAAATATGGAGCACTGGATTCTGACCCAGTGGCTCAATGGTAACGCGCTGGTCGCGGAACCTGAAGGTCGCGGGTTCGATCCCTGCTGGTGGGGTCGTGGGTGCGCACTACTGAGGAGTCCCATTGAGTGGGACGAAACAGCTGTCCAGTGCTCCCAGGTTTCCTTTGTTCCTCCAACTGATGTCAGTCTTCGATGAATAACAACTTGAAATAAGGACTGTTAAAAGTATTATAATCTACTACAGTAGTCATGGTGTATATGACGGATAAAAGAATTCCTGACTTTTTCGACGTAATTCGTGTGTGGTCGGTGTTATTTTTTCTTCAACATATCTTGACATACTGATGTTATTTGTTCAGACTATATGATCTGCTTAACCATATATTGCCAGCTAGTTTCTTGTTAAACTTCATTTTAGATCAGTCAGTGTAACATATAAGCGTGGCTATTCTTCAGCCAGTGATGCAAGTGCCTCTTTACCAGTTTTTACTAATACCTCTTCATCTAATCTCGGTTCAACCGTCAGCAGCTCTAGTGTTATCTATAAACCTCACTATGATCCAAAAGAGGTGAAAGCTAAAAAACAACGATTAAACAAAGTCACCAAATTACCTGCCTATCCAACCAATCATAATCAAACAGTTTCATTGAATTCTGTCAAAGTGAGCAAATTGCCTGGTTCTCCAGTTATCAAATCGATTGAATCATATCCAAACGAATATGTTACAATCGACACTGAAGACGTCAAATATAATTCTGTATCAAGTGTTTGTAGAAACAGAAGAGCACTAAAACCAGTAGTAAGTTCTGTGCAATCGTTTGTCACGTTTATTCACGAGATTGTCTGTTCATTTTATCGATTTATGTGAAAACAACAGTAATACAAATTTCGATCACCTCTTACTTTCAGTACAAAATACCGAAAATGGAAGTTCATTGGAATACCGCTTACATCTTAACATCATTTAAATGACTTGTTAATATGTAAATTTATGAGAGAGTTTACATTCTACATCTAATAAAGAGGTTCTTGGTTCAAAAATCAACGTAATGTTTGTTACAATCCATTATCTTGTGTGTATATGGTCACCTACTGGTTTCACGATTGTGACTCATTGAATTAAGCTGTAGAGTGCCGACTAGGGGATCACTCCTTTGAAGTTTCATCCAATTTCGGCGGTCATTTAGTATGGTAGGATTCACAGCTAAGTGTTGTTCACTACCCAGTTCATGAATATGAACATGTTTGTCAAGACTGATACGATGAACAAGGCATGTATCAGCGAAGAAATATTTCTTTTCAACGACTTCATTATCAAGCTGTACAGTCGTATTTATACTGAGTAAAGTGATACATGCCTTGTTCTTGTTACTGATACGATGGCCTACATGTGCATACATAGTTCACGTAATGTAGCATTTCAACTATTGTTTATTAAACAGTACATGAAACCGTTACCTCTAAAATTGTACAGTAAACAAACCTTTTGAGAGTTGAAAAATCAAATTCATTGAATACCACTGTTCTCATTTACTTATTGAGAAGACTGATCTAATCCAAACACCAAACTGTTACACCGTTCATTAGTATCGAGCTTTTAAACGGTGTAACACTTAATTCCATTAAAACTATTACAAGTTAACTGTCATAAAATATTCCAGTTGAGTGTTAACATTTAGTGCGTCTCTGATCCTAAGTTGTAGCACTTAGCAGCACCTTATTTTAAGTGTCTAAAGTTGATCGAGTGGGTTCTCCAATGTGAGTAAATAAGTAATGATACTAAATATCCAATTATATATCAACAATGACCTCTTCCCTCCGACCCTACCCAGTGCGTTATGCCTACTAAGCAGCGAAATTACCAGAAGACAAAGACTGGCGTTTGTTTACGAAAACGAATCTCACTAGACGAAAGTAAATTTTATATTTACGTAATTTTAATATGAAAATAAGCTAGGTAAAAAAACTACATAAATTGTGATTAGTTCACTGAAACGCCGATTTATCTACCAATGCCCTCAACCGTACAGATCAAAATTGAAGTTTGAAAAGTTTGCCTTAATGGTCAATGACAACATCTTGATTTCTGTTTTTTCCAATTCCTGTCTGTATGTAAATGAACCGAACTACGTAACTGTGTGCACATTTGAAACGTACCGTTTTTTCGGCGTTTACAAGGTCAGCTTTAAAATTTTAACACAGGTTTAGATTTAAGTTTTTCAGCCTACTTTAGTTTAGGAAATTCGGCAGGATCATAAACCCTCTCAGGTTCGTGGTGTAGTACATCTTCATTAGCATCTTCTTTCTGACTAATGGTCATCTCACAACTCATTAGAAAGTGATCTTGGTCAGGTTTGTGCCATAATGCATGCCTAGTCACCACTTACCTCGACGTGCAGTGCTAGCAAGAGGGTTTAGGATGGCTGAACCAAGACGTGGGACCAGTCGATGAAGTCTCTTACTGTTGGTCTAAGCCATGCTGGGAGATGTAGACTGCCTGGTTGTGGAGTCTCTGAGACGAAAGAAATCAGTAGTTGGGAACTCTAGGTGATAGCTGAAAATCGGTCACAGTGGCCTGAATGTATTCACTCCTTGACGTCTTTTAAAGCTTGAATATTCGCACTAACCTTTATCCTGAGATTGCGTATTCTATCACACAACTTTGTTCCACTTTGATATCATTCTTGTTCCATCCACCTGTTTTTTGTATACTACTGTGAAGTGTAGCAACTTAAACCGATTCATGTGTGCATGAGGTTCTACGTTGATTCTCTCTGTTTTTAGTGCTACTGATTATATTCTGTGTGTATGTGCTCACTACAAATATAATTTCACACAGTTTTTTGAAACAAAATTGCGGGCTTACCGGGATTCATTATGGCTAGTAACTAGCATCATAATTGAAGAGTTGAATATTCGCAGTCTTGATGATGTATACAGGTTTTAATTCGTATAGATTCATATCTTATCTCTTGTAGAGCCGTAGTTTTATACTAATGTTGAAGATTATAGCATATATACTTCTTGTTAAATCAGTCGCAGGACTTATCCATCTGTAGTGTTTTTTCATATGTCATCCGAGGAGTCAGATGAAAATTGGTTTTCAGTCGCTCATCGGACCACAATAAGCCAGTTTTGCGTCTAAGAATTATTCATTGAATGTTTACTGATCTTATGGCTGGATTTCTAGGTGTTGAGGTAGGCATAAGTCAAATGGCAGTTCCAGCTGGTATGTTCAAGTACATCACCTTATTGAAAGCTCTCTACTCGAACACTTGTGGGCATTTTAGAGCCTATGGCGAGTTGTCCAGGGAGCTATGCTCATCGAGTGGTGTTCGTCAAGGGTGCCCACTCCATTCTTATTCAATTTCATCATAGATATTCTTATGGAGGTTTCCCTCTCGTCACCAGGTTACACAGTCGTTGACCTAATCGCGGAGAATTTTCGTTAGACCTGGAGTATGCAGATGATATAGTCCTGTTAAGTGAAGACGCTGACAAGATGCAGAGTCTTCTGAACACTTTGAGTGGGAATTTGAGAATGTTTGGGATGCGGTTCTCACCACCCAAATGCAAATTCTTGCTCCAGGACTGGTCTTTAATGGTGCCGCAGCTAACAATAGAGAGTGAAGTGGTTGAGTGTATCGACCACTTCACTCACCTGGGAAGTAGGATCAACCCTGGTGGGTTAGTTGGCGATGAAATCTCTGCACGGATACAAAAGGCTAGATTGGCTTTTGCCAATTTACGCCACCTATGGCACTGTATGGCTGTGAAACATAGCCATTGAAAGTGGAAGATATAAGAAGGCTTCAAGTGTTAGACCACCGTTACCTTCGTGGTATAGGCCGTATTCCATGTTGTCACCACGTGAGTAATTCAGAAGTCAGGTGTAGTTTTAGGGAGAATAGGTAAGTCAGTTGACACTGTTGTGAACCTTCATCGACTGAGATGGTTGGGATATATGTTACGTATGCCTAGTTGGCGTCTGCCTCATCACACAATGTTGGCCGAAATAGGTTCAGTGTGTAAAAATGCCCTAGGTGGCCATACTAAAACATGGCACCAATGTATGAAGTGTCTGACTGATGATTTAAGCTATGTGGGGCGATGTAGACTAGGTGGTTGGGGTTGGCGGGACAAGAGGAATGAGTGGTTGGAGACTCTAGGGGATATGGCTCAGAATCGATGTCAGTGGCGCAGATTTATACATACATTATCCTCATCTTAACGACGCTATACCGAATTTCACCATATTGTCATTCCTCTTTTCTTTCTTCTCGTACGCAGTAATGCCTGGTCCTATGTTGATACTGATTAATTTTTATGCAAATAAAGTTCTGAAATTATTTCTTTAAGGGGGCCATTTTCGAGCTTTGCCATAATGATATCAACCAGGACAGGGTCTAGTGGAGACCCCATTGCGATTCCGTCCGTCTGATTATAAATTATATCACTGCATCTAAACTGTACATTAAACGTACATCTTAATATTAGTTCTTTTAGGTCGCTCGTGGGTAATCGAATATTAATATTATTAGGATCAATGTAATCACATAGATAACAAACGGTTTCAACAAGTGGAACATGGGTAAATAAGAAACAAACATCAAGCGATATCATACGCTTACCCGTTATGTTGATTTTCCGATGCAGCGATCAAAACCAAATGTATTTGCATAGATTTAATCTCACCGGTTCAAGCATTTTTGCAAGCCACTTAGCCAATGAGTGGTAAGGTGAATTAAGCATACCGGTACTGGGCTAAGAGGAAGACCACCTTTATGCACCTTCGGCAGATCATATAAACGGGGCATATTTGAACCAGATGGTCTAAGCTCCTCATATATATCTGGGGTAATTAGAAATTCTTCTTAAGATTTTCGATATTTAAAAATCAAATCTGAGTTGGTCCCTTGTCTAACAGTTATGGAGGAAGTGGTTGACTGCGTTGACCACTCCACTTACTTGAGAGGTCAGATCAACCATGATGAGACAGTGACTGACGAAATCCGTGCGCGGATATAAGAGGCTTGCTTGACTTGCCAACTTAATGCATTTTGGGGCCACTGTGATATCTGATCGTGTGTTTAATATTGAGTGTAGGTCCTATGTTGATACTGATTGACTTTTTCCTCCATATTGTTGATTGGCTTTGCAACTCAACTATTTTGATTACATGCTTAGATTCTTTTTCATGTGTCAAGGTCTTACCAACTTAATTGACTTCAATTGTTATTTGGGCTCTATTACTTATATCGGAGTGCATGAAAATGTATTTTGTTGGTGATATGTATTTTACTGCTGCATAATTCTGTTAGATTATTTACGGGGAAATCTGAAAATTATAGTAGTTAGTGTTTTTCATCTTGGTTTAATCTTGGTTCTTCGAACCTCATGTATCGTAAGTATCAGTTGATATTAACTATTTCAGTCTCAGTGCATTTTGGCAGTTACGTAATCTTACAAAGCTTGCTTTAATTTACTTTAGAGAAATAACTCCTTATCAACTGCTGTTCCAGTCGCTTCACCTGAACCATCTCGCCTGACGGACCAATCTGTCTTGTCTCCATCCAACTCTACTCCGGTTACGACTTCTGTATTTCTCACACCTATTAAGCTACCCTTGGCTAATGTATCTAAGACACCACATCGAAAGAGTGGGAACAGTTCAAAGAAAGGATGCAAGAAGACTCGAGAGAATGTCAGAAAAGCTGCTCCTATTCAAGATCGTAAGTCATCTGGATTTCTAAACTTACTGCAAAAACTGAGACCAAATAGCAAAGGTGAAAGTCAGCTGCATAGGGCAGCAATTCGTGGTGATCTTAGTCAAGCAGAAGAGCTACTTTCTGCTGGGTTGTCACCAGATGTTCGGGATCATGCTGGTTGGACACCACTTCATGAAGCTGCATTACGTGGACACTGTGAAGTAGGTACCAAATTAATTTTAGTTATTTTTAATTATTTTTGTATTTTTTCAATATGTGTATATCAAATTTATCTGTTATGTCTGGTCTTCTTTAAAGGTCGCTAAGGCTCTTATCAAAGCTGGAGCTACCGTTGACATCCCTGGTGGTCCAGATTTAGAGACACCTTTACATGAAGCAATACAAAATGGACAAGCTACTTTCTGTCAGCTGTTACTTGACCATGGTGCCAATCCTATGTTTCCAAATAATAATGGAATAACACCAGTGCAACTTGTAGACACTACCATATGCCATTTAAAGGAGTTACAAAATTCAGATCCTAAGTCGTCAAAATATAATACCATTCTCAACACATTATCCGATATTAGGGAGATGTTTAATAAATCATCGTTATCGTTGACTATGTCAAATAAGAATTACATCACCGACAATCCAACTTTAAATACTTTGTCAGTTTCTTCCGCAACTACTTTCGTGGAAAGGTAAGTGTATAAATTTTGTTTAGAAACTGTTGGGGATGTTAGATCCATAAATGAACATTTTATGCCTAAAATTCATAAATTTACGTGATAGAAAATTTGAATTATCTTTTTGCGCTCTTTTCTACCTCACATGTGTCACTCATTTTTACCACTTTCAACAACTCCATTTCTCTATCAGTTAGTCTTTGACTTTTAACATATTAATCTGTCTATTCGCTCCAAAGATATCAACATTGTATATAAATGAAAGAGTTGCGCCCCAAAATTGATATTTTCCGATTGAAGTAAACTCTCTTGAGTGCAGTATTGTCTTCGTCCTTGTGTGGCAGCTGAGTCAGTTGTTGAGCGTCCAGATTACGCATCCCTAATCAACCGTATCCGGAAATCTCAACTTAATATTTTTTCGATAATTTTATGTATAATAATATAAGTCTTGGCTACACTGTATCGTTGTAAATTGTGCACACCCTAAGGGGATTTCAAACAATATTGCTCATTAGGTTATATATGCATAAAAATAACTCCAGTGCCGCTTAACATTACAGTAGTGGATTTTGTAGAATATTTGTGTGAAAATATATAAGGTAGATAGATAAGTGATACCTTGAGTTGCAGTTTTAGAATGTTTGGGACGCGTTTCTCACCACACAAATGCAAATTGTTACTCCAGGATTGGTCTTCAATAATGCCTCGGCTAACAATAGAGAGTGTAGTGGTTTATTATGTCGACCACTTCACTCACCTAAGAAAGTAGGATCAGCCCTAGTGGTTCAGTGGCCAACGAAATTTCTGCACGAATGCAAAAGACTCGGCTGGCTTTTGCCAATTTACGCCACCTATGGCGCCGTCGTGATATCCGATTGTCTACTAAGGGTGGCGTGTACTGCCCAGCAGTCCGGTCTGTTCTACTGTATGGCTGTGAAACATGGCCATTGAAAGTGGAAGATATAAGAAGGCTTCAAGTGTTAGACCACCGTTACCTTCGTGGTATAGGCCGTATTCCATGTTGTCACCACGTGAGTAATTCAGAAGTCAGGTGTAGAGTTTTAGGGAGAAGAGGTAAATTAGTTGACTAGGTTATGAACCTTCATCGACTGAGATGGTTGGGATATATGTTACGTATGCCTAGTTGGCGTCTGCCTCATCACACAATGTTGGCCGAAATAGGTTCAGTGTGTAAAAATGCCCTAGGTGGCCATACTAAAACATGGGATCAGTGTATGAAGTCTCTGACTGATGGTTTTGAGGTGTGTGGGCGATGTAGACTAGGTGGCTGGAGTCCACGGGACAAGAGGAATGAGTGGTTGGAGCTTCTAGATGATATGGCTAAGAATCTGTGTCAGTGATGCAGATGTATACACACATTATCCTCATCTTAACCGCTATATTTAATCTCATCATCTTCTTCCTCTCTTTTACCTCCTTCTACTTCCTCTGACCGATTTTTCTTTCTTTTTTCGTCTTGCTTTTTATTTCCTTATTATGAGGTGTGGCAAGTTGGGCCGTTACGCAATAATTCCTGGTCCTATATTGATCTTGATGATGATGATGATGATGATGATGATGATGATGATGATGATGATGATGATGATGATGATGATGATGATGATGATGATGATGATGATGATGATGATGATGATGATGATGATGATGATGATGATGATGATGATGATGATGATGATGATGATGATGATGATGATGATGATGATGATGATGATGATGATGATGATGATGATGATGATGATGATGATGATGATGATGATGATGATGATGATGATGATGATGATGATGATGATGATGATGATGATGATGATGATGATGATGATGATGATGATGATGATGATGATGATGATGATGATGATGATGATGATGATGATGATGATGATGATGATGATGATGATGATGATGATGATGATGATGATGATGATGATGATGATGATGATGATGATGATGATGATGATGATGATGATGATGATGATGATGATGATGATGATGATGATGATGATGATGATGATGATGATGATGATGATGATGATGATGATGATGATGATGATGATGATGATGATGATGATGATGATGATGATGATGATGATGATGATGATGATGATGATGATGATGATGATGATGATGATGATGATGATGATGATGATGATGATGATGATGATGATGATGATGATGATGATGATGATGATGATGATGATGATGATGATGATGATGATGATGATGATGATGATGATGATGATGATGATGATGATGATGATGATGATGATGATGATGATGATGATGATGATGATGATGATGATGATGATGATGATGATGATGATGATGATGATGATGATGATGATGATGATGATGATGATGATGATGATGATGATGATGATGATGATGATGATGATGATGATGATGATGATGATGATGATGATGATGATGATGATGATGATGATGATGATGATGATGATGATGATGATGATGATGATGATGATGATGATGATGATGATGATGATGATGATGATGATGATGATGATGATGATGATGATGATGATGATGATGATGATGATGATGATGATGATGATGATGATGATGATGATGATGATGATGATGATGATGATGATGATGATGATGATGATGATGATGATGATGATGATGATGATGATGATGATGATGATGATGATGATGATGATGATGATGATGATGATGATGATGATGATGATGATGATGATGATGATGATGATGATGATGATGATGATGATGATGATGATGATGATGATGATGATGATGATGATGATGATGATGATGATGATGATGATGATGATGATGATGATGATGATGATGATGATGATGATGATGATGATGATGATGATGATGATGATGATGATGATGATGATGATGATGATGATGATGATGATGATGATGATGATGATGATGATGATGATGATGATGATGATGATGATGATGATGATGATGATGATGATGATGATGATGATGATGATGATGATGATGATGATGATGATGATGATGATGATGATGATGATGATGATGATGATGATGATGATGATGATGATGATGATGATGATGATGATGATGATGATGATGATGATGATGATGATGATGATGATGATGATGATGATGATGATGATGATGATGATGATGATGATGATGATGATGATGATGATGATGATGATGATGATGATGATGATGATGATGATGATGATGATGATGATGATGATGATGATGATGATGATGATGATGATGATGATGATGATGATGATGATGATGATGATGATGATGATGATGATGATGATGATGATGATGATGATGATGATGATGATGATGATGATGATGATGATGATGATGATGATGATGATGATGATGATGATGATGATGATGATGATGATGATGATGATGATGATGATGATGATGATGATGATGATGATGATGATGATGATGATGATGATGATGATGATGATGATGATGATGATGATGATGATGATGATGATGATGATGATGATGATGATGATGATGATGATGATGATGATGATGATGATGATGATGATGATGATGATGATGATGATGATGATGATGATGATGATGATGATGATGATGATGATGATGATGATGATGATGATGATGATGATGATGATGATGATGATGATGATGATGATGATGATGATGATGATGATGATGATGATGATGATGATGATGATGATGATGATGATGATGATGATGATGATGATGATGATGATGATGATGATGATGATGATGATGATGATGATGATGATGATGATGATGATGATGATGATGATGATGATGATGATGATGATGATGATGATGATGATGATGATGATGATGATGATGATGATGATGATGATGATGATGATGATGATGATGATGATGATGATGATGATGATGATGATGATGATGATGATGATGATGATGATGATGATGATGATGATGATGATGATGATGATGATGATGATGATGATGATGATGATGATGATGATGATGATGATGATGATGATGATGATGATGATGATGATGATGATGATGATGATGATGATGATGATGATGATGATGATGATGATGATGATGATGATGATGATGATGATGATGATGATGATGATGATGATGATGATGATGATGATGATGATGATGATGATGATGATGATGATGATGATGATGATAGATAAGCGAGGTTTTATATGAACTCCTAAGTTCATCTTTCAAGTTAGCCTTTCACACTGAGTAATTCTGTCGACATATGTCGCTATGGTTAAACAGTACCCTAGTAGAAGCCGCATACTGTTCAAATAAAAATGTACTCAACCAGAAAGGTCATGACAACTGTTCTAAACTTTCTAAAGAACTGTCTGTAGACATGCTGGAGATTATCGTAGCCACTTAGATACTGTACGCTGTTTGCTAGCCCTAGAATCTGTTGAGAGTTGCAGAGAGGTGATCAGTGTGTAACCTATCACCATAAGATGAAAGAATGTCGTTAGATTCAGCATTTGTTAGTACATTACAAATAACTTGATGAGTGGGAGTAGTTTTGTGATTTAGGCTTTAAACTTTATCAAACTGGACCGAAAATCCAAATTACTAGTGATTATACTGTAGATTATTTGTGTCACATCATTGAAAAGTAACACGATAATAGTAGACGCTGTCACTGGAAACTACTCCGATTATCGTGTTATCCATTATTCCTCTTGTAGCCTTTTTTGTCGTCATAATGCTATCATATTATTTATTTATTACTATCCAAGAATTATTCACCGATACACATTCAACGATTGACGAATATCTTCACAGAATTTCAGTTGAGAAATGGGTTTTTCGTTGCTTATGTTTATTTATATTGCTGTTATGAATTCCTCCACATATTTTCTTGGGATATTTTTTCAAATTTTATTAAACTTTTAAAAGGCGACGTCTGCGACCAATTCTTTTGGGTACCGGTCTAACTAGAATTCAACAGTCGCTGTTCACGCGTGTTGCAAACATGATACATGCACGTGTAGTTTCCTCTATTTCCCCTGAAGTTACGCATGTAATAACTGGTGCACTTCAAGAATTATCTATGGATGCAGTTCCAACTGAGTCAAAAGATGATGTAAAGAAGAATAAAAAATCTAAAAGAAATCCTCGTTCATTGAAAGGTGTTGATGAAACAACCATTTCTAGTGGACAGGCTACTTGTCCGCGTACTCTAAAATTCCTAAGTGCTGTTTTACAGGTTGTTATAATTAATTCACTTAAATTGTTAGTAATGTTCGTTTTTTAATGTATATTATCAAAATGACAAGCTTAGATGCCTTAAAAAATATAAAACACAAGTTGTTAGATCAAATATTTTTTTTAATTTATGAAATATGTTGCGTAGTTAGTAATTATCGTCGTTCTTAATTCTCTCCCGCATAAGTGGCTCATCGAGGAGCGAGAAGATGGGCATACGCTGGACCGATGGAAAGACCCTAGACGATTTGGATTTCGCCGACCGATGATTTATGTCTAATGTCTTGTCGCACAAACTCGAAGATCTACAGGCGAAAACAAACAAGTTGATAGAAGAGGCAGCAAAAACGGGACTTCAAGTAAATGTAGAGAAGACGGAGGTGATGAAGATACTCAACCAATAATAACAACAACAAGCACTAGTCACCATGAACGGGAGGAATGTAAAGGAAGTCGTCTCCTTCACCTACCTAGATAGCATCGTTCCAACTACAGGCGGCACAGGCACAGATGAGAGGATGTCAAAACCAGGTATCGGAAACACAACAGGACAGGCTTTCATTAATCTGAAATCAGTGTGGGGATCTACTGCACTCAGCATAAAGCGTGAACAAGATCCGGATTTTTAACACCAATGTTAAGTCAGTGCTTCTATATGGTTCAGAAACTTGGCGCGTCACGAAAAGCACTTCCAACAAACTACAGACATACATAAACAGCTGCCACCTACGCTCTCTCGATACTGAAGATCAGATGGGTAGAATAATAAGAATAAGCAACAAGGAACTCTGGGAACGAACCAACCAAGAACCTATCACCCAACAAATATGCAGTTGAAGAAAGTGGAGATGGATTAAGCATACACTGAGAAGACCGATTGGGGACATCACGTGCCAGGCGAGTCCCTCAAGTGGAATCCAAAGGGGAAATGACGAGTTGGGCGTCCGTGGAGAGGGTGACATGGAGGAGATCATGTGAAGAAGAAATGAAAGCTTGTGGGCAGTGGTGGAGCGAGGTTCAAAGGACTGGAGAGAAGAGAGTGCAATGACGACGTGCTACTGAAGCCCTATGTTCCACTAGGAACTCAAGGAAAAAATGATAATAAGTGGCTCATCTGCTGTTAAATATACTTGACTGTTATACCCTTCAAACGTGTGTATTATAATATGTAACGGTGATAACTGCATTCTATGAAATATGATTAAGAGGTACATACAACTTCCATTGTTTATTATTGATAAATCACTCCAAACTAGATTGTTCATTTGAGGATATTGCACACAGTGATGCAGTATTATCTACTGGATGACGTTTCATATTCATATGAAAGTAATCATACGACTTCCATACTTCCTTTATATATACCAAGAGTTAGTTATTCTTTTATTTGAATAGTAGTAAACTTTTCCAGATATCTGCAATATGTGATTAATCCTTCTTGTTGTATGTCAGTTGCTGGTTGATTCAATGAACAAAGATTCTGAGATCAACCTGTTCCTCCATTTAGTTAAATTGGATTTTAGAATTATCACCTTATCTAGTTTCAGTGGTTCAATTTAATGCATAAAACTAATAATCCTAATAGAATATGTGGTACTACTAGTGTTTATCCTATTCGACCAGTAGTTCAGAAACACATCAACGTATGAGCTACCTAAATAATTAGCTACAATATTATGTCCTATTAAAAATTACTCAAAATCTAGACTCATCAATTTATTTCAGTTGAAACATAGATTAAGTGATACACAATAAGAGAAGGGAGGAAAGATAGTCAGTTCTGATCTGACGAGCGTCTATGCAGATATACCAATTAGTTTGGCAATTGAGGCGGTCAGAAATGAACTCACTAATCGAACTAAAGTTTTGATTGAAAAAATTATGCTAGGGATAAAATTGTGTCTAACTCCGATGGTTTTCAAATTTCAAGACAAAATACATAAACAAATCGAACAAATAGCGATGGAATCTCAAACATCCTCAATCGTAGCAGACATGTTCATGGACAATTAGGAACATTCTAACCCCACCCAAAAAGTATAGTAGTGTTGAGATAGAAATACATCCTCTTTTTTTCCCACATGTTAACCTGACAACAGATGCGATCCAATTCACTTATGAATTAGAAAAAGAAGAAGGAGAATTACCTATGTTGGATCGTAAAATCAATGGGGGAGAAAATGGAGGCTTAGATACCAGTGTTTGTAGGAAACCAGCACATTCGAATAGATACTTGGATTTCACAAAATCTCACTTCATATCTGTCAAGGTTGGCCTGGTAAAATGTCTTGGTGATTGGGCTAGGAGTTTGACTTGTTAGTCAGAAAACCTTAATAAGCAACTAAAGCACATTGAAAAGATACTGCTTCCTAATGACCACTCCGGAATTTACCAACTAGTTTATAAGGACTGATAAGAGAAGTATAGTAATGTTAGTGGTGACTACAACATGCCGAAGAGATAATTCAAATCCTCTGTAGTGTTTCCATATAGAGAAGGCACATCGCAAATTTCGCGTGAAATTCTTAACAATGCTGGGATTAGGGTAGGTAGCATTTAAATCCGATAAACTTGCCCACAGAGAAACTTTGTCGGCTAAAGAACCAATTAGGAAAAATAACCTTATCTATCAAATATCATGTAATGATTATGAGGTCAAGTATATAGACCGAAGCAGCCGATTTGGATGAGTCAGAATAGCAGAGCACAAGAATTTAGCGAAACGCAATGCTAGACCCTACTAAGATCAGTAATTTGGAGGAAAACCTCGGCTATCGCTCTGCACGCACTGACTTGAGATCGTACCATGGGGTGACATAGAGTGACAATTCCAAAATCCAATTAGTTAGGTGCAAGGAGAGGTTGATCATTGAATTTTTGTTCATCGAATCAACCAGCAACTGACGTATAACAGGAATGACTCATTGTTTATTGCAGATATCTGAAAAATCTTACTGCCATTAAAATAAAAGAATGACGAACAGTTGAACTATAGTTTAGAAATCATATGATTACTTTTATATAAATATGAGCAATAAATTCTCGAAATGTCATCCAGTAGATAATACTGCATCATTGTGTGCAATATCATCAAATAAACAGTCTAATATGGAATTATACTCTAACGTAGGGCTCAAGTTTTACTCCTATACTGTACAAAAGGGGCTACCATTTTTGATTATGTCTTCCGCGTACACCTTCGATAAACGCCCTACCAAAGCAAATAGGAAAGTAATCTTCAGGAAGCCTTGAATATAGGTTTCCTGTTTGTTGCTACTCGTCAGCAAGGCATATCTGCAAACTCGGTCGAACTGATATCTTCTCATATGTTCCAGTACCTGTCCCACAATGCTGCTATCAGAGAACCTACTACTACACTATTCCTCCGGTAATTGACCTTCTGTATGACGACTACATACATTGATAGATAGTAATTAATTTCATGTTGTGTAGTCCTGAATGCTGTCCGGATTCTATTGATCATTTTGCAGTGTAGTCACTAAACTGGGAGACTGATCATAGCAGTGCATTTTGCCTGGTGTTATTTAGTTGGTAGCAGTCATGATCTGTATAGGTCATTAGATAGATCTATGACTTTAGCACAGAATGATCCACTTTATAATCCTGAAGGGGACATCACTTTGCCGGAAGTTGCAGATACCCCTTGCTGGTGAGTGCCATCAAGCACGAAACCTAAGTCCCAGGGCTTTCTGTTGATGACCTCCAGCCGGCTAACATCAGTCAAAGTGTACCATGATGATGGGTCGCCTGGCTTGGTGAATGATTGATAGAATGCAGTCAGCACTTAAGACTGAACACTATAGAACTTCCTGTTCTCCAGTTACTAACCAATGTTAGTAGAAAAGTCATCTGGTTTTCAGATCACTGTGATAATATCAGTCAGGTTCAATAAGCATTAATGTTAGGAGTTTGTAACTAATAATTATCTCGCTCAATAAGATATCATTTTTCTAATATTCGACCCATCAATAGTTAAACGTCTCTCCAACTTTCTCGAGTTCAATTTATTATATTATTCTAAAATATACATTCATTATTTCCGTTTTCACAAAAGATGACTGTAAATTACTTTACACTTTTGATTAGTCTTGTAAAATTTGATGGTTTCCAAAAGAGTTTTGAAAGGCGCAAGTTTCACATGGGGCATTTGTTACACTGATATGTTCTCTGAATCAGTAATTCATGCGCCAACCATTGTATCAGAATTTATGGTAGCTGGTAAAAAAAGCAGTTTACATTCTATGCTTGTGTGTATTGACTTGTAATTCATCCTTATGTTTTACCAGAGGTCATTTTGATATATCTTCAAGCTTTTCATTTCTATACCTTCTCTTCTTTTCATTCTTATCATTTAGGGATGCTGGATCTTATCATTTGATTGGATTGAGACATGTGCTCATATAAAGATGCGCGTGGAAGAAGAAGGTTTCGAAGTAACTGGCTGTAGCACTGCTCCTATGTCTGGTGCACCTCGTCGTGCACGTCTTTCTCGTGAGGCGGGTTCCTTGGGTTTACTTCATGGTTTGAGAATTTGTTTCCTGGTATGTTTCCTCTTATTTTGAATTACTTCTTGAACTATAAAAAATATTGTTTTTAATCCTATCACATGATAACCAGCTGTCCGATAACCGATTGACGAAAGTTCGTCAACTGAATCTGACAGCCATCATTTCATTCTGTTTAATTTCAATTTGAAAACAAATTCTCGCGGGAGTTGAACGGTTTTTGGGCTGTTCGACGACTACATTAAAGTATATTATGGTCCAGTAATAAATAGGAAAATTAACCTCCTCTTTCGTTGAGTGAAAAAGGACATATCCAGTACAACATTTGTTAGCGTACAAAAGATGCAGTAGAAAATCGTATAATGAAGAATAACAACGTCAACTAACAAAGTTGTATTGAAACCCGCCAGCTTCCATAAACCACTCAGTTGGATAATAACTAACTATTTATCAATAGCGCTTCGAAATGGATTTCACGAAATTCTATTCTGAAGTCATGGGATTAAACCCACTGCGAATGAGAATGAGTGTTCATCGATGATGGTCTAACTGTGTCGCGAAGATGTGCATTGTCATATCCTAACCCAATAGTTATCATATCCATTGCAACTGCCTTCTGCACTATGATTGTTCACTACCTGCTGGGTTTCAAAATAGAATCAATCCGCTGTTAAAGGTTCCCTAGCTTTCAGTAATTCTCTAAGTGATCTCAACTTATAGTCTTTTTTGGAATAACATCCTTAATCAAGAACTCAAGTGAATACTTTAAAGAAAGAGAGCGAGAATTATGTAACGAGCTGTATTCCGAGTTGTATTCCTTTTGTCTGATTTTTGCGTTGGTGTGTTTGAGGTTGCAACGAACGACGATGAACTTTTTACTTCCCATATGAAGTATAAAATAATATTTATCAGTAGTATATAGATATGAAGCTTATTGAAGAGATACTTCATCAACCTACAACCACATTAAGTCTGTTCAACATGCAAAGAAAGAGTCTTCCAGAAAACCAGTATCTCCTGTAAAACGACTATATATGGCAAATAACAAGAAACAACTAAAACTACTTAGGTGATCTTCGCTGGTACCTTTTCTAAGGGTGAGAAGCGAGATGATTCAGTAGGTTGACCATTCTATGTACTTGGGAAGTTGGACCACCTATGGTCAGTCATTCACCAACTTCCCCACCAAGAATCGAATACACTGCATTATAGTTTACTCTGTTCTACTATATAGCGTTTTAAGGTAAAGAACATTAAAATGCATCACATGTTCGACCTCCGTGACATGGGCTGTATGTCATGGTACCACCACATCAGTGACGTAGAGTTTTAGGGAGGAGAGATAAGTCAGTTGATGAGGTTGTGAACCTTTATCGACTGAGGCATCTGGGATGTGTTGTTTATGCGTAATCACTCTCTGTCCGTCGGGCAATGTTAACTGAAGTAGGTTTAGACTGTGAAAGGAGTAGAGGCGACCAGACTGGAACATAGCATCAGTTCCTAAAATCCTTGCTTGTTGAACCGTGTAGGGAACTGTAAACTTTCCGGTTGGAGTTCACATGACAACAGAAACCAATATTTGCAGACTGGTCAAAATCGATGTCAACAGCGTAAATGTGTCCAAGCTTTATGGTCACCTTAATCATCATACTGAATTTCATTATCGTTCGATTCGGTTTTGTTCTCTTTTCATAGCTTCCTATCACTATTGACTCCTTATCTTTCATCTTGGTGCATTCTTGTTTGACACACTAATAAGAGGTATGGCAACTTGAACAGCCACACAGTAATGCATGGTCCTTTGTTGACGGTCTCTGTCTGATTCGAGCTAAACACACTGACCGTATAGTATATACTACTTACTGGCATGAGTAGTTGTAGTAGACCAATAACACTAATTAGCAATGCTCTTCAGTCAAATCTAGATGATCCAAAAAAAACTAGAAAGGCTGTTTCACTTGTTTTGCGGTTGAGGTCATCATAAATTGATCCATCTGAAAGTCAATCAAACCACTCGAATTTTGGCTAAATACTTAAGTGGACTTCTGACATGTAGTTAAATCACTTGTTCGCGAAGTAAGCAGTCCATTGTGAGAGTAGAAGTTGGTAGTGTAAAACGAACGTCAACCTTTTGTATTTGTCATGCAACTTTTAATGCCTACATCTTCAAAGCCAGTAATGTTTACCAATAGGTTACACTTTGTTGTCCTAATATTTTGATTTCCAAGGGACATTGGCTAAATTTCGTTATTTAGTGTCATTGTTGTTGCTGCAGTCCATACACTTTCTGATGAATATAAACCTACGAATCTAAGCCTCATCTAGATGCCTAAATATATGGAATGTTTGACCGTTTACACATATTATTTAGCTAATATTGATGAAACTGAACCGTGTACATGTTTATGTATTAGGTCATAAGCCACACTCATTGTTTGACGCCTCATAATACTTCACGATCGTCGAGGCTCAAATAGGAGGTGAGACTGGATTTCAACGCGAGTCCCAATACGTGAAGGTTTAAGCTGATGAGTCATTTCCTCACTTGAAAAGATCATGGTTACGGTACTTAAACGACTTAGCAACATGCCATTTAATCAAACACTTGCAGACCTTAGTAGTCATGTCATATGGCCATAAGGTGTAGTTATTCTAGGTGTTGCTTATAAGAGCATTTTGAATTCCATGATATTGTATAAGATCATATGTAAGGTATATTAATTGTAAGGCTGGTGTTGTGTGACGATATTTGCATGTGTCTTATATAGCTAACACCTACTCATCTTGCTGCATTGTTTCACCTAAAAGTAAGATAGAACTTTTGGCAAAGTTGTGTTTAAAAATATTAACAGTGAAATAGATCATCAACTGTTAGTCTCAGTACGTGTCACATTACTTACTAGTTAGGATTCTGTCACATTGTTCTAGTTGCATTCACCCATATTTTACTCTAAGGATTGATTAAACATGATGATATTTTAATCAGTTCTTATGTTGCCTTACCTTTTTCCTCTTTTTTTTCACTGCATTTTGAAGGTTTATTTCGGCCTGAAGGGAGATACGAAATGAGACTTAGTTTTAGCATTAATTAAGAAATCCTAATATTGTAGTGGGCGTTGCTGATTACAACGGATATAAGTAGTATATATCGAGAGGGTGGCAGGAATCATAGGGAATTACCGGCAATGGGTAAGGTTTCTGCAAAGAGCAACGCAGGGGATAGCACAGGCGTGTTACAGGGGATGCTGCTGAGAAGAGTGTATGAAGAGCAAATCAAGACAGGAACAGAGGAGGAAACGAAGACATTTGCAGATGGCTGGGTTAGTGCAAGGTGCACCATATGTAACCACTACCATTCCAATTGTTCGTAATAAGCAATCTCACGTCAAGTTGTCTTCTGTCTCTTCAATATTTGCATCTTAACACTGAATGGTTCAAAACTATTCAAGATGGGTACAGTTTAAAGTCCCTTTTTATGGATTGGAATACATCGTCTTCATCATATCAGATTTTTCTTATCATCAATGCACTTTTGTCAACCTTTGTTCTAACTTCTTCGCTTTACCTCATAGTTCAGTCTGAAATCAACATATTCAAATGGGTGTAGTATGTCTTGTAGACTCTCATTATTAAAAGTGTTCACAGTTGTAAACATTTTCTATGTTTATCGTCTATACACAAGTAATCTGTCTTGGTTATGTATCCTGGAAATTACTCAAACTTTTAACAACCTGTTTTTCAAACCTTGATTCATAGTAATAACTATGAAAAATTGGTTACTTTTGACATAACTGACCTTTACACAATATATCGGTTGAAATTTGAGGGAGTTGTGGGGATTTGGAATATTTCAAGTTGTTATTCATCGTAGACTGACAAATATATCGGTCGACATGGCTCTGGAGGCAATTGGAAATGGGCTTAAAAATGACAATGAGCTTACGCATCGAACTAAGGTGTCGATCGAGGAAATCATGCTAGGAGCACGATTGTGCCTAACACCTACAGTTTTTAAGTTCCAAAATAATATATATAGACAAACGTGTTGACATGAGATCACCAGTATCCCCTATCGTCACAGACATATTAATGGATAAGTTGGGAACAGATGGCCCTTTAAATATCTAGTCCTACTCCAAATATATGGTTCCGATATGTAGATGATATATTTATAGTATTGAAATCGGGACACATCAATAGGTTCTTGGCATATATAAATTCAGAAGCGAATGCAATCCACTTTGCCTATGACTTAGAAAGTGAAGAAGATGAGCTAGCAATGTTGGGTTGCAAGATTAAACGAACACAGAACGGAAGCTTAGAGATTATTGTCTATAGGAAACCTTCCCATTCGAATTGCTACTTCGACTTCAAATCCTCCCACCCCATCTCAGTTAAAGGAGGCTTAATTAAATGCCCGAGTGATAGGGCGAAAAAGCTTACCAGTAGACCAGAAAATCTACGACAAGAAATTAGACACATCAAGAATATTTTACGTCTCAATAAATACCCACGAAAATTTGTCAATAAACTCATAAGGAATAGAAAGGAAAATATTAGTGGTAGCAACACAGGTATTATTAATAGCAGTTCTACTACTAATGGTAATGATGGTGATAGGATTGAGGGAGAATTCAAAGCTTCTACTGTGTTACCATACAAAGAAGGCACTTCAGAAGCATTACGAAGAATTCTCAATAAGCCTGTGAATAAAATGGCATTTAAACCAACATACTCGCCTAGAAACAAGCCTTGTAGGTTGATAGATCCTACCGATCCAATTGAGCAAAATAATCTGGTTTACCAAATCCCTTGCAATGATTGTGAGGTCAAATAGCCGACCAGAGTCAGTTAGAATAACAGCACAAAACTTAGGTAAATCAAGATTAGTAAATCCTGATAAAATAAGAAATTTAAAGAAAAGCTCTGCTATAGCAATCCACGCAATTACACACAATCATACAGTAGGGTGGAACAAAGCGACAGCGCTAAAAACTAACTTAGTTGGGTGGAGGGAGAGATTAATAACCCAATCTTTGTTTATCGAATCAACACTAAATACATGCAATGGGAATGATTGATTCTGTACGTGTCCCAGATATATGGAAAATTCTACTCCCCTTGTCATCACAGAAAAGGAGAGAAAATTGGAACCATATAAACTCTGTCACGAAGTTGCGAAGTTACCTGCTGATATGAATATGGGCAATAAATTGTGTCCGAAACGTTATCCAGTAAATGCTACTGTTTCACTGTGTGATATTTCTAATAAACAGACTGGAATGGAATCATAATCGACCACAGTTCCCAAGTTTTACTCCTATAGTAATGAATCTCATTTAATGCCTACCATGTTTTTTCTGACCAGAGACATTTACGTACAATGAGCTGAATATATACTTTGGATTGTGTGACAATTGTTTTATATAAATAATCGTTCAGTTTGCTTTAGAATTTAACTGTTCTAATTTTTTCATAATCCACTGTTTGTACACTAATTTTTTTACAGGGGAATTTTCTGTATCCTGTACCGTCGAGAGATGAGCTTACTCGATTAGCGCGATCTGGTGGAGCAAGTATAGTTTTTAGTCGTGAATTATGCTCACCGATTCGACTTGCTAGATATGCTGTGGAATCTGCAAATAATTCATCAATTTGGGATTTGAATACAGAGAAGATTAACTCAGGGGAGGGGAACAAAGAATTTGTTGATGATGCAGATGAGAATATTTCATTTATAGATGACAATACCCTGGTTGACTCGAATTGTCCGTCTTCTTTGCTTGTCTTATATGATCCTGGTGTTTACAATAAATCTACAAATGAATCATCTACCAAGCCCTTATACGTTGCGGAAACAGTGTCCAAAGCGCTTAACCTAATAAAACCAAAGAAGTCAGCAAACTCACTGAATTCACTATCTACTGACTTGCCACCTCTTCGACTCGTGCCATGCACTTGGCTTTTGGATTGTGCTGCAGAATATCGCCTACTCCCCTTTCCAGCTATCAGTTGATGAGTCTGTAAATTTCTGCTCCCTGTCATTAGTGAATATGCAACACTATTCCTTATCTAAATTGATCTTACTTTCTTGCTGATTACTTTAAATAATTCAAATGGATTTTAACCTTTATTTTGGAAATATTTATTCTTTTCTTATTCATTGAAAATTTTTACTGAAGCCTATCACAAGCAAATAAAAAGTGTCTGTGTTTAACTTTGTTTATCGGTTCATCTTGAAAAACAACAAGAAAGTTTATCCCTAAAGTAACCGCTGTATATTTCAAGTATATGAGTGCCAGGTTCCAGCTTCAATAATAATAATCACTTTATTCTAGATAATATGTTTGGTACTGTTATGAGATTCTTATGTAATACTGGAACAAATGTACTCCCTGCACTATATTTTAAACGAAATAACTTTGACATCTCAGTAATGTGTGTATAAGAACAGTATTTTAGACAATAATATGAAACAACCAACTGTTTTTAGATTATCGTTTTGTCTGATAGGAGGAATGTGAATAGAAAAGTATGGCGAATTCTGGTGGTGAATAGTTCATCCCGTCAGTGTGAAGATCTTCAGTTCAAACTAACTGTTTTAGAAATAGCTGCGTGATATATTAGTATGCGTTTAAAGGTTCATTACCATCTAGTGTGACTTTATCTCCTCAATTTTTCGTCAACTTACAAAAACGACAAGTCGAAAAGAATTTTTAGAAACGCTAGAGTATGTAATACTATTTGAAGATAGCTTAAAGGTTGAAATGGAACAACTTGATGGAAAACTAAAGTACCGTCACTTCATTTGATACATATAATGCCTAACCACCTAATATTCAAGTAAATGTGCATTTAAAATATCAAAATTTGTTTTATATCCTAACAACTACTTTTAGTCTACTGAACTAAATCTCTGCACAGCATCTATTTAGACTGAAAATGGAGACTGGTTCATTAGTTTGGGCAAATAACTTTCAACCAATGGGTCACGGGTTCGAGCCCCGTTCCAAATGCCGAGATCTGGGTAGCTAGGTAGTATCATGAGCCTTCACAATAGGAATGGCTCATTGCCTGCTGCACGAATGTGCACAAGGTTGTCAGACTGCGTTTCGATTGGAAAACGATGCCTAACCTACCGAGAGTATTTAGATAACCAGTCTTCTTGAGGTAAGCATTTGTATAACTAAACATTCTGCTGCATATATTTAGCGCATAAAAACTAGATTGATGTTAACCCATTTTATACAAGTGAAGTCATACCATATTGACTCTCATGAGAAAATAGTAACTTCAGACGCCTAGTATGTCATTCAAAATGATACCGTCAAGGACCTCAGCTAATACTGCACCTCGCTAGATATCCACTGTATATTACCATTCGACATAAATGAGATAGCTAAGTGGGTATCACTAATATTTGTGAATTCACCTCACCCTTTGTTTTCTTGTGGTACTGATTGTAAGTATTTGTATTTTATGTATGTGAAACTGACAGAATACATGAAAGCTGACAACTCACTGTTTTTAAATTAAAATAAATCACGTCATAGAAAAAACATCAGAAGAAATTAGGCGACTTCACGTAAACACTTTCAAATGGATTCCTAAGTTGTAGGTGTACAGCGTAATTACTTACTAACAAAATAAACATCACACATTCGATTTGGAGGTTTGTGGGTGTCTGTTATTGATTTCAGGTTGGACGAAATAGGTGTCCAGTGCTCCCAGGTTTCCGATGTTTCTCCAACTGATGTCAGTCGTCCCTGCAGGCTGTGAGTACAACTCAAAAGTAGACTGAGAAAAAGTCTACGCAACGAGAGCGAACAGTGGTAGTCACCAAAGGCTAAAGAGATGGAAAAGGCAGTGGCAATTGTTAACAGTAAACAGTTATTTAGACTTATTAAGGAAACTGGAGGGGGAAAGGTCAACAACAGTTAGTGAGGCTATAGCGGAGAAGGACGGATCTGCGATTTACTCTCAGAGAAGACGACTGGAACGATGGGCAGAAAACTTCAGTTGGCCTTCAGCCACCATTACGTTGCCCGCTATCCAGTCGAATCCTGAATAGAATATTGAAACAGGCCCCCCAACACTTGCAGAAGTCGATAAAGCGGTAGATAACTTGAAACGAGGAAGGGCGGCAGGACCAGACGGACTAGCTCCTGAGGTATACAAGGATGGTGGTAAGGTGTTCTTAGGTTAACGGAAGTGTTAACCAGTACATGGGAATCAAATACGATCCCCTCTGACTGGTCTGAATCACTGGTTATTCCAGTCTTCAAGAAAGACGAGAAGTCCTCTTGCGACAACCGCATAGTGGTAGCAACACAGGTATTATTAATAGCAGTTCTACTACTAATGGTAATGATGGTGATAGGATTGAGGGAGAATTCAAAGCTTCTACTGTGTTACCATACAAAGAAGGCACTTCAGAAGCATTACGAAGAATTCTCAATAAGCCTGTGAATAAAATGGCATTTAAACCAACATACTCGCCTAGAAACAAGCCTTGTAGGTTGATAGATCCTACCGATCCAATTGAGCAAAATAATCTGGTTTACCAAATCCCTTGCAATGATTGTGAGGTCAAATAGCCGACCAGAGTCAGTTAGAATAACAGCACAAAACTTAGGTAAATCAAGATTAGTAAATCCTGATAAAATAAGAAATTTAAAGAAAAGCTCTGCTATAGCAATCCACGCAATTACACACAATCATACAGTAGGGTGGAACAAAGCGACAGCGCTAAAAACTAACTTAGTTGGGTGGAGGGAGAGATTAATAACCCAATCTTTGTTTATCGAATCAACACTAAATACATGCAATGGGAATGATTGATTCTGTACGTGTCCCAGATATATGGAAAATTCTACTCCCCTTGTCATCACAGAAAAGGAGAGAAAATTGGAACCATATAAACTCTGTCACGAAGTTGCGAAGTTACCTGCTGATATGAATATGGGCAATAAATTGTGTCCGAAACGTTATCCAGTAAATGCTACTGTTTCACTGTGTGATATTTCTAATAAACAGACTGGAATGGAATCATAATCGACCACAGTTCCCAAGTTTTACTCCTATAGTAATGAATCTCATTTAATGCCTACCATGTTTTTTCTGACCAGAGACATTTACGTACAATGAGCTGAATATATACTTTGGATTGTGTGACAATTGTTTTATATAAATAATCGTTCAGTTTGCTTTAGAATTTAACTGTTCTAATTTTTTCATAATCCACTGTTTGTACACTAATTTTTTTACAGGGGAATTTTCTGTATCCTGTACCGTCGAGAGATGAGCTTACTCGATTAGCGCGATCTGGTGGAGCAAGTATAGTTTTTAGTCGTGAATTATGCTCACCGATTCGACTTGCTAGATATGCTGTGGAATCTGCAAATAATTCATCAATTTGGGATTTGAATACAGAGAAGATTAACTCAGGGGAGGGGAACAAAGAATTTGTTGATGATGCAGATGAGAATATTTCATTTATAGATGACAATACCCTGGTTGACTCGAATTGTCCGTCTTCTTTGCTTGTCTTATATGATCCTGGTGTTTACAATAAATCTACAAATGAATCATCTACCAAGCCCTTATACGTTGCGGAAACAGTGTCCAAAGCGCTTAACCTAATAAAACCAAAGAAGTCAGCAAACTCACTGAATTCACTATCTACTGACTTGCCACCTCTTCGACTCGTGCCATGCACTTGGCTTTTGGATTGTGCTGCAGAATATCGCCTACTCCCTTTTCCAGCTGTCAGTTGATGAGTCTGTAAATTTCTGCTCCCTGTCATTAGTGAATATGCAACACTATTCCTTATCTAAATTGATCTTACTTTCTTGCTGATTACTTTAAATAATTCAAATGGATTTTAACCTTTATTTTGGAAATATTTATTCTTTTCTTATTCATTGAAAATTTTTACTGAAGCCTATCACAAGCAAATAAAAAGTGTCTGTGTTTAACTTTGTTTATCGGTTCATCTTGAAAAACAACAAGAAAGTTTATCCCTAAAGTAACCGCTGTATATTTCAAGTATATGAGTGCCAGGTTCCAGCTTCAATAATAATAATCACTTTATTCTAGATAATATGTTTGGTACTGTTATGAGATTCTTATGTAATACTGGAACAAATGTACTCCCTGCACTATATTTTAAACGAAATAACTTTGACATCTCAGTAATGTGTGTATAAGAACAGTATTTTAGACAATAATATGAAACAACCAACTGTTTTTAGATTATCGTTTTGTCTGATAGGAGGAATGTGAATAGAAAAGTATGGCGAATTCTGGTGGTGAATAGTTCATCCCGTCAGTGTGAAGAACTTCAGTTCAAACTAACTGTTTTAGAAATAGCTGCGTGATATATTAGTATGCGTTTAAAGGTTCATTACCATCTAGTGTGACTTTATCTCCTCAATTTTTCGTCAACTTACAAAAACGACAAGTCGAAAAGAATTTTTAGAAACGCTAGAGTATGTAATACTATTTGAAGATAGCTTAAAGGTTGAAATGGAACAACTTGATGGAAAACTAAAGTACCGTCACTTCATTTGATACATATAATGCCTAACCACCTAATATTCAAGTAAATGTGCATTTAAAATATCAAAATTTGTTTTATATCCTAACAACTACTTTTAGTCTACTGAACTAAATCTCTGCACAGCATCTATTTAGACTGAAAATGGAGACTGGTTCATTAGTTTGGGCAAATAACTTTCAACCAATGGGTCACGGGTTCGAGCCCCGTTCCAAATGCCGAGATCTGGGTAGCTAGGTAGTATCATGAGCCTTCACAATAGGAATGGCTCATTGCCTGCTGCACGAATGTGCACAAGGTTGTCAGACTGCGTTTCGATTGGAAAACGATGCCTAACCTACCGAGAGTATTTAGATAACCAGTCTTCTTGAGGTAAGCATTTGTATAACTAAACATTCTGCTGCATATATTTAGCGCATAAAAACTAGATTGATGTTAACCCATTTTATACAAGTGAAGTCATACCATATTGACTCTCATGAGAAAATAGTAACTTCAGACGCCTAGTATGTCATTCAAAATGATACCGTCAAGGACCTCAGCTAATACTGCACCTCGCTAGATATCCACTGTATATTACCATTCGACATAAATGAGATAGCTAAGTGGGTATCACTAATATTTGTGAATTCACCTCACCCTTTGTTTTCTTGTGGTACTGATTGTAAGTATTTGTATTTTATGTATGTGAAACTGACAGAATACATGAAAGCTGACAACTCACTGTTTTTAAATTAAAATAAATCACGTCATAGAAAAAACATCAGAAGAAATTAGGCGACTTCACGTAAACACTTTCAAATGGATTCCTAAGTTGTAGGTGTACAGCGTAATTACTTACTAACAAAATAAACATCACACATTCGATTTGGAGGTTTGTGGGTGTCTGTTATTGATTTCAGGTTGGACGAAATAGGTGTCCAGTGCTCCCAGGTTTCCGATGTTTCTCCAACTGATGTCAGTCGTCCCTGCAGGCTGTGAGTACAACTCAAAAGTAGACTGAGAAAAAGTCTACGCAACGAGAGCGAACAGTGGTAGTCACCAAAGGCTAAAGAGATGGAAAAGGCAGT